AAAATACAATCAATTTAGAGAAAAGTCAAAGTATTGTTGCTGGTACTATTATCATGTATATTTACATTATGCAACAGAGAACAGAAACATAGACCTGCTTAGCCATTCATACACCCTACTGTTACGAGGATCGAATTATTTTTACTGAATCTGTCGCGAAATCCCAGACTTTTCTAGAATTATCTATAATCTGTAATATTCCAGAAACTTCTTTCATGTGACTCAGCAGTTTCCAAAAATAGTACAACTTGTAATACGCTATAAATAGTAATAGAACATTCTAGATAACTAAAGTAAATGTATAAAAGCTGGCTTGTGAGAAGTACAAAGGAGATTTGCCCGAGGGCTTACCCTCGTGGCTGGCTGACTGAACTTTTGGAAGCTATGATATGACGAGGCTATGACCTTTTGACCTTGCGATATCTGGAGAGAAGAAAGAGATGAAAAAGACGATAGTCGAGAGAGGAAGAAGATAGAGAATACAGAGTTTGCTATGGAGTCCTCCGGAAGAATTTGTGTACAAGGAAAGAATGCGATGAATCAAGAAAGCCAAGCGCTGTGGTCTTCAGTCGGCGGATGTTGGAATTGGAAGTTGATCAAGACGACGAACACTTACACGGCATGAAGGATTGTAAGCCTACTTTATGAACTGCTTAATTTAATCTTTAACCTAAGTAAATTAGACAATGTAAAACTAGTTAAATAATAGTTAAAATGGGTAACTGCTTGTTGTTACATTTTTGTTGCGTGCCATATATTGTACTCGGGAGTCTCTTTTCATATATGCTTTGTTAGCGGACATTTGTTGGTCATTCGTGCACGTAACTCTACTACCAAGCATTTCTGAAGTTACAGCAAGTCATCTCTGCAACAGCAATGAGTGAGTACAATATCACTTTCTTGCTTTAAATAAAATCTGACATACTTGATTACAATCTTGTTATGGTGGGTTTAAATAAAAACTAATTCCTCAATAACTATCCTCATAATACTGTTATTTTAACTGATTGAAAATACTGCTGAATTTTGACTTGATACACAACATAGGAAATGATGAGAATGAAATATTTTRCAGTTGGACAATTTCTTTCAGAAAATAAAATGTTAGATGCACGAAAAGGGACCGCGAGGTGAGGTACAGAATATATTGTTTATATAACCAAGATTATAACACATACCAAAGCCGCTGAGGAAAATAACTTGCTTCGAAAAACGTAGCCCACAAAATAAGCTTTCAAACGAGAGTTTTTTCAAGAAAATTGGACAAAAGACGGTCAAGATATCGTCATTCGAAAACAGGGGATTTTGCAGTTTTATCGTGGACTTCGGTTTGTTAATTTTCTACTGTTTTGCGACCAAAAATTGAAGGGGCTGAAAAATCGCTCTGAGCTTCAAAACTTAAATTTTGAACCTGGAGAGGGTCTGCTACAGAGGTCCGGTCCGGAAAATGGAGCACCTAGCTCTGGAAATGATTTATGCCATGCTGATGCTTCGGATTCACTCGTTTTCGCCACCTAAATTATAAGGTTTGTATGGAATATACCTTCGTTTTCGAGAGATAGTAAAAGGAAGGGTTTACCATACTCGTTTTATTGTTGTTTATTTTTTAACAGTTTGCTTTTACTTGTAGTATCGATATCCCGGTCCGGCAAATTGAAAAAATATTTCATGATTGCGAATATTTATAATTTTTACGTGCCTTCCATGCATTTCTCTATAAAATCGGCAGCGATGTTTACAGACATTTTGTTATGGAACCGCCTGCCTACCGCAGGCTCGTGACCGGAATAGTTGGCGATGTTGCTATTTTTTTAAACCAAATTAAATAGAACCACAACACACAAACTGAATCTGCAGAATTTTAAATTTTTCTGTAGTCTTAAAGCGGGACATCAGCAACAAAATGAAGAAGTTGGAAAAATTGGGTTCATCTATTTTTGAAAATCACGTAAGTGCTGAGTTCCTCTATTGCATGCTCATATTAATCATGCTTTCTTTGAAGCAAGAAACTAAGTGTAACATTTTAGAACAATTTACCATTTACCAAAACATTTTTTATTAAACTTTAAGAAGTTCTTTGACCGAAACGTTTTTATTAAAATTTTTTATCTTTTTTTACGTCAGAAGTTGTCTGTCCTCGCATTCTTTTAAGCTTTATATATTTATATAGTGAAGTGTACAATGAGGACGTAACGAAGAGACCAACACTTGACTGTGCTGTACGCCCCAGCAACGTGGGGGCCTTAACATCGTCAATTTCAAAGTTAAATGCCATAGCTTACCTCTTTCCAGCTTTTCGAGTCAAAGAGATAACTTTGGTTCATGTAAATGGCACTATTTAGCTAGACATTTTTTAGGTCGTAAACTTACTCATCTTGTCCCCCGTTTCTGTTTTCCTGAGAACTCGTGCCTTAACTCAGCCTTTCCTTCTAATTTTTACAGAGTGTGTTTAAATAGTTTCCAATCTTTATACCAGAAGAATGACTCCTCACTTGACTCCCTAACAAGCAAAAACTTGTACTTTATATTCATTTTTCGGACGATCTCTCAGCCGCGGACATTATCAGCCGACATACCAGCCGCCCGAAGGGGTTTATTTACTAAATATGTCTATATATACAAAATTTTCAATAGCTTTTTAGATTTTGATTTTTAACCTGAAGAAGACCCAACTGCCGAAACGTAGCGCATTAAACTCGTCCAGAACAGTCAAGAGTTGGTCTCTTCGTTACGTCCTTATCGTACACTTAACTATATATACACACATACATTTATAAATATACATATATACATATATAAATGTATATTTATACACTTATATATATTTTTCTTTTTTTTCATCCCATAGGAGCTCTAAAGCATAAATTTTTCGATGCCCAAATGAACAAGAAGAGGCCTCAACTAAGGCTCTCCTTCAATCAAAAATGCTTGATTTGCAAGAGAAAATTTCTCATTGTGGAGGGAGATTTTGACAAGTCCACTGACTGACTGAACTATCAAATGATTCCAACAATTAAAACAATTGTTCTTAAATCCTTAACAACTCTTCTTGTGCAATTGTTATTTTAATCATGCAAGTTCACCAGTTAATGTTTCTTATCGAGATCTTTGTTAGTTATTAATTTCAGTGTTCAGAATTTCCAATAAATTTTGCATAAATGTTGGATAAAGAAATTTTTTCTTGGTTGGGATCTCCATTTCTCACACATCTAGTTACTANTTACACAATCTAGAAAAGAAATCTGCACTCCAGGTAAATGCATCGAAAGCATCTCAGGGATTGGTTGATGTTGACATGGAGAACTACAACACAACTGAAGACTCTTTGGCGAACTCTCAAGTACCCTCAATCGAAGACGATGATCAGACAAGCAACCAAGGCTCTTCATGTCAGCAGGAAGTTATGAAGGACGAGAGTGCAGCACTTCCTTCTAATGAGATCAACGCAGTTGTGTCTCAGGGATCGGCTGATTTTGATGTGGAGAACTACGACACAACTGGGGACTCTTTGGCAAACTCTCAGGTACCATCAATCGGAGACGATGATGAGACAGCCAACAAAGGCTCTTCATGTCAACAGGAAGTTATGAAGCAGGAGAGCGCAGCAGTTCCTTCCAATAAGATCAACGCAGGTGTGCCTGATCAAGATTCAAACTCTTTTTATTTACGGAATATATCCATGGCGGTAAAGAATCGGGTGCGCAGTTTCGTTCTAAATCTGGTGAATACAACCTCATCGCAGTTGGATACCTCCAGCCACCTGAATCAACCCGAGCTAACTACGAGTGAGTCTGTGGAGGCTGGTCCAGGTCCAGTGAACGAAGATTCTTCCAGTTACACGAAGGTTTTAATGCTATCATTAAAGGGAATGGATTCATCGGAGTCAACGGAGATGTCTTCAGGTAACTCAAAAGTATCTTAAGGAAGTCATGTGGAGGCTTGCAGTGACAACTCTATGCTTTGAGGGATAGTCTGATTATTCCCAAAAGTACGAGACCAACATGTTGTCAAAACTAAAGAAATCTCAATAGAAGGAAAATCAGTATTATCATGTTTTTCACCTTTCCTCGGTGTACGGTGCCAGAGGGAGTCTTTCTTTGTATAAAGTTATCTCAAGATACAATAGCGTGACAACAAACCCATATTCAATCTTTGTTCAATATCTTTTACATTAGATACAATGGGTACCATGAAACATCGATTTTACAACCTCAAATTTTCAACAAGGAATGGGTTAACACGTAAAGCTGTGAAGATATAACGAAAGTAGATAGCCTTGTTTTTCGATCTGTTGAATACAGGTGCATCCAAAGAGTGCGCTTCTCCCGTATGGGAGATAAATGAGGTAGGATACCCTCCATCGCTCACTGCGCAGAGTTCTGTTAATCATTCCCGGAGTGCCCCATCGATATCTGGAGGATCCATACATATTGATTTTGAAACAACCTGTGATACAGAAGCAACAGGCGAACCTTCCGCACCATCCTCAGGTGGATCGATGAAAACTGATTTGGATACCGCCGATAAGTCATCCTTCAGCTACAACGCAGGGGCGTCCCTCAAAAAGGAAAGTTATGTCTTCGGTATACCAGCAATATCCTTAGATGTTGATGCAAATCAAGTCATAACGAAATCCTCCAGGATTGTTGACTTTTTGATCGGAGAATCGCCATCCCTAAATGGTGCCAAAGAACAGGGGCCAACTTGGGACTCCCTCGGTGACTCAAGAGTGTCGTCGATTGTT